TCTGATCACCTTAGTCTAATGATCATAAAGAAAAGCATTCCAGAAATCTTTAGGGGCACGATATCTGATGATATCATTATTGCCAATGATTTCTTTGTCGAAACTAAGAAATGCTTTACCAAAAGGCGATAAGGCGGAAATTAGTATTCTTCTTAAGAGTCTCATTGCCATAAAGTATAACGACAAATGTAGCATAAGAGAGTACATCTTGAACATGTCTAATACTGCTACGAAATTGAGGGCACTTAAGTTTGATCTTTCGGAGGACATGTTTTTCCTATTGATCTTACTCTTAAAATTAATTTAATTTCAGATCATAGACACACCTGGGGCTGGTTTTGGTGTAACAACGCAAATCAGTGTGTCTATGCAAGATTATTGCTATTGTCGACATCAATTGATTTTGGTGTAACAACACATATCAATGTGTCTATGCAAGATACTTTATTGTCGAAATCAATTGATATTGAAAGATAATCTATATGGGTGATGACAAGAAAGTTTAAGTTGAAGTCATTGACAATTTTGGATTATTATTAGGTACTGGTTATTATTTGGATTTGGATAAGACGTTTTTTTGGTACCATCTTTAGTTGAAATTTAATTTCGATCTCTATTTCAAAAAAATTCGGTTATTATTGTTAATTCAGATATAAAGTTTTAGTCTCTTTCAGAATTCAAAATTATTTGGAACTGGTACATTATTTGATGATAATAATCGTCTTTTACTTAATAGTCTGACTTCATATCACGAATTAGTTATTGAACATATTCGTACAGCTTTCATGATTGTTGATCCGCTTAATTACTAAAGGGTTTCCACTTAAGTTCTATAGTGAGCATGTTGTTCGTTTGAGAGTGGAACCATATTTTCATACTTCAGTTTAGTGGGAGCTGATTAGTAATGTTCAAATACAGTTAAAGTTACTTTGGTTTACACTTCACAATTCAGTATTCAATGTTCAATATTCAATGTGCAATATTCAGTTTTAATTAAGTATTCAGTTGTTCTAAATTAGAGTTAAGGTGGATGAATTGGAAGTAGCATATTAAGATCACATTACATGAAATTTCCATGTTCTCTATCCGCACTTGATTGAATCTTAGGTTATATTAGTGTTGTGACTATGATCGGTCTCATTGCGATACATGCAGTGATGGCCGCTTTGATCTGCATTGATGCGACTTATAAATAAGATTGGTAATATACATTAAAGAATCTGATAGCAAAATTTCATGAGCTCGTAAGGTTATACAGTGTACATTTATCCAAGTGGGAGATTGTTGGATTAAAAATCCAATTGTGGGTTAAATGTAACTATTTGGGCTATCAGTCGGATTAAGCCTATATTAAGTGATTTATTAATTTATTTGGCTTAAATTATTTAGTAAGTACGGGCGTCCTATGTTCAGAAACCCGGTAACTTATTAATTGGGTGATGAGACCAATTAATAATAAGAGATATAAATAGGGTTGTGATCCCAACTCTAGACACAATAACCATTACGTTCCATATCTTATTGTGGGAGTAACGGTGGAAACTCTAGCGGTTTTTCTCATGAGGAGTTGCGCCATAGGCTTGAAGAACATAAAATCCTTTATCAATTTGCAGATCCGAATCCGACTATGCTGATGAATAAAGTTAAATCTAATTTGCTTTATTTTCATCTCAATTATTACAACACGGTAGATCCTGAACTTATGATTAAATTCCTCATAAGTTCCAACACATAAAGGTTGTTCATTGTGGTTTTCACAAAAAATTAAACTCGAGGCTACTTTTAATTTATATTGGAAAGGTCATTAATTGTTTCCAATTTTAATATTTTGTGACTACTTGTTCTGGGAAGTCACTTATTGTAGTTATTTTTGTTATTTTTTTGCTTTATGTGTGCCTATTATTTTCTTATGTGAAAATCATTTAAAAAGTTTTTATTAAATTAACCTACCCCATGTGCAATAGATTAAAGCGCTGTGTCTTTTTTTTTTTGTGCTAAAAAACGTTGTTCCAACCCCTTGCTAGCAATGTCCATGCACCCTTTTAGTGTTAGGGTGTGTTTACTTTATGAAATAAGATTATAATACATAATATTATTTTAATGAATTATATAATTATATGATAACCTCGTTTAAAGATTTTGGCAAAATTCTACTATTCATCCAAAAATTTTTCCCAAAAAATATCAAATCAAACACATATTTTTATTTTTTATATTATACTTAAAATTAATTTTTCATTGAAAATATTACATCAACACCTATTTATTTCACGTCATACAACTATTACAATTCAAAATTTTTACTATTCAAATCCCAACTCAAAATCCAAACCCCCAAACAAACACACCATGTGTTTACTTTAATGGATTATTGGATAATATTATAATTTTTTTTTCTAAAATATCATAAATCATATAATAAAAATAAATATAATACTAAGTGAACTATTAATGGAAGACTAAATAGTCTTTTTAACATTAATAATATCTTTTATTATTTAAAGCTACCTAAAAGAGGAGGATTAATAATCTCTAATTATGCTACTATGCTGGACTTTACTTAATTTTGGACTATAATAATAAATAGTAAAAAATTGATTATGGTGAATAAAATAATATTATTCATCCTAATCATGTAAAGTAAAAACACCCTTAGTGAATCTTCTGATGTCAACTTGATTATTGATCAGTGCCTTGTGTGTGCGAATTGTTCTTTGTTTTCCTTGATTTTTTTTTTTTTTTTTCCTGTGGTATTATTTTATTTTTCAAAATTTTAAAAGAAAAATATATTTCTGAAAATTGAAGTAAGCATGAAAAATTCATTTTTCTTAAATTTAATTCAATTCAATGTTAAAACAAATTTGGCAATACGGAAACAAAAAATAAAATGAATTTTAATAACACAAAAACTCTTTAGGGGCAGTAGATGGAAACTTTGAAGGGTTTGTAACCGATAAGAAAATTGTGGAAATAGATTAAATAACTTATTCTTGTATAATACTTCATTTTTCTAATTCACTCATTAGAAAAGTACGTGAAGTTAAAACTTAAAAAGAATTGTGGGATAAATTAGAATAACTTTACACTGAAACTTCTTTACCAAATAAATTTAGCACAAAAATAATGAAAAAAGAAAAAATACCCCTAGTGATTGGATAAGGTGTTAGAAAGTAAACCAATATTAATTAATACAAACAATAATCTAATTTTAATATATACAATTGTTTAATACATAATCAATTTAAACAAGCATAATTTTAAAATATATAACTGTTTAATACAAAAAAATACGTATATAATCTTAAGACATATTTCTGTTTATAACACTAATAATTACCGCAAAAACAATAATTTGCAAAATAAATAGTTATGGAAATTAATTAAAATACAGCCACCATAATGCACTTAATTACTGCAAACACACAAATTTTCCAAAAACAGACACCTTATTTCACAAATTGGTGGCCACAGATAGTGCACACCAGCTACATTTTCCTTTTAATTTTTTCACTTCAAAAAATAACAGGCAATTACTCTCAATTTCTCTCCTAACGAAATATTAATATGCCTCCAAATGACAATTTCATTTCCCTCTCAAACTATATCTATGAATACATCATTAATAGCAATGAATTGAAGTTAGATAAAATTCATTACCTCAAATGACGAGAACGGAGAATCTAACGAATGAGGAACTCAACAATATAGCACATTTTTTGTTAGAAAACAGCAGGAATCGAAGGCCAGCACATGGAAAGATCAATGAAGCAACAACCAAATTCGGTATTTCACGCAATGTAGTACGTTGAATATGGAAAAGAGCCATGTAACAGCAAGAATCATGTATGCCAATGAATTCAAACAACCATAAAATAGGTAAAGAGTGTAAAAAGAAACACATTCTCGGCAACATAGCCATGCAAAAAATTACCTACAGTAAGTGTGACAGTTATCATAGTGTGGCATATGAAATGTGTGTAAGCAAGTACACTATTGGAAGATGGGCCGAAGATGGTCTGATCAGACACCATAGTAATACTATAAAACTAGCACTAAAAGCAGCCAACAAAATCAGTAGACTGAAATTCAGCTTGAATCATGTCGAAGTGGGCCAAGATATGAATATCATCAAGTTTAAGTGCATGCCTTATGTTGTATACATAGATGAAAATAGTTTTGTATTACATATAATACTGAAAAATATTATCTCACCCCCATGAGTTTGATCCTTGCAGGACCTACCAAAGCAAAATGTTTATTACGGAGACAATGCTCCTATGTGTTGTGAACAGGCCCTTATATGGAGAAGAGAGGCAATGTATTTTTTTATTGGAAAATATGTATTTTTTCTTTCACAAAAAAAGTACCAAGTAAAAATAAATCAAAAAAGGACCTATTAGCACCTTGGAAACGAAGCCTTTGGATTCAATCCCAAAGGAAGTCACCAAGGCACTAATGATCAACGAGGTATTACAACTTTAACATATGAATATAGTTGAGTATGACTTTCACAATGATGCATTTTAGAATATATGCATCTATTCCCAATGATTAAAGGGAAATGGCCAGCAACAACAACCAAAATAATTTTAATACAGTAAGACAATGTCAAACCACACATTGATGACAACGATCCGGACTTTAGGAGCACTGCAAGCAGCGATGGATTTGATATCCATTTTACTTTTCAGCCACCAAACAATCCGGACACAAAGATAAAGGATTTGGGGTGGTTTCGAGCACTACAACCACTATAAGTTTCAACCATAGCATCAAATGTGAATGAATTGTTGCGGGCAATGCAAAAATCTTTTGACAAACTTTCTCATACAATATTAAACAATGTTTTCCTAAGCTTGCAAGGTTGTCTTAGGGAAATAATGGCATGTAATGGGGTAACAACTACAAGATTCCCCATATTCGTGAGTCGCGATGTTAAGAAACAAGACACTCCCGAAAAACTTAGAGATTGACCGGGAGTTGATCAAGGCATCCATTGATACCTTAATAGAAGCAAATTAAACAGAAGGTTTTGAAGAACTAATCACTGCCATCGATTACTGATCCGAAACACAGTTTTTTCATCATTTGTAAGCATTAATGTCATTTGTAATTAGTAGCCATAGGAAATTTTTCGTACCTACTTTCCCTATTGTATATATGAGTTTTATTACAACTCACCAAAATGTTGTATTGAAATAGCACTTTGTAGTTGTAATTTAATCTCTTTAAATTCAGTTATGGTTGTGTTACCTTGTTAGGTTTTGTACCGAAAATTTTGACACTCTCAGATTATAAAATCATCATCGAGTGCGGGGCAGTAAATATTTTCGCGCCATCTCATTTGAATATTGGTCCTGTTCATGATCAATTAGGTAATTTAGGGACATGGGACTTTCGCTCTGAAATTATAAAATTATCATCGAATACAATGGACAACTTTAAAGCATTCTCTCAATGGATAGATCATTAAATGCCTGAACTCAATACATTGTTTATAAATGTATTGAATTCAATAAGGGACCGTGCTCATGTTGAACGAGCGATGACTTTAAACTAGTATAAGTCTCCAAAAAATTCATTTTTATGCAAAAGTAAGGCACCTATTGATTTGAATCAACGGTGGCTTAACAGTTTCATCATCTCAGGCTATTGACACCAAAAACCAACAATGACTTGCCACAAATTTTTTTTCTCACACACATAATCAAGGACAATCAACGAAGCCACGGATTTTCGCAACAAGTATATCGGATTATACCTCAGAGGTAGGGATCATACCAGCCAACATGTAAGATAGTAAATCATTTACACAAATGATTTTTAGTTTTGTCTACAAAAAACAACAAACGAAGATTAGGTAAGTTCATTAACAAAAATCAGCAAGCATACTCATAGTACATTCGAAAAAAAGTTTTAGGGCAACAAAATCAAATAAGATTTATTTCCTTAATTTGAAAGAAAATGAAATATGCTAACCTCCAACACGGTACTCCGGGGGCTCGACAGCGAGAGGAGAGTATATACGAAGCATATCGATGACAACTTCACGGGTAGAAGAGCAGTTTAATGGAGCCGCTTTGATCGTACCTTTGGTTGGTGGAGAAGGTATCCGAAACATCAATCGTCTGGCTCGAACAAGGGCAGCGTTGGAATAGACCTCCCGCTCCGAATCAGGGGCGAATCCATTGACCACCATGGGATTAGTGTCCGCGGTAGTAGATCCAGATAAATTAGGGATGTAAAAAGCATCGACAATGGTGGATTCGGAAAAATCATCGGAGTCGCTAAACAACTTAGAAAACCCATCTACAGAGTGCAACCCATCCCTGTCAAGGGGGGAACGGCCCTCTGCCATCGCAAGAGAGCATGGGCGAGCAACATCACCAGAGAAATGAGCCGGAAAGAAATTGCAATGGCAACAACGGGAAAAAGAATCGCGAGGGTTACAAACCCTAATCGGAGCCAAGGTGAGTGAGAGAGTAATGATTGAGGGTGGGGTGGGTAGGGTATTAGATGTGTTGGTAGGTATGAAATGTGTGTTAATTTTGTTATTTTTGTGAAAATGTAAAATACGATTTTTGTAATAAAATGTAAATATAATGGTATTTGTTATTTTAGAAGTGCATGTGTTATAGTAACTAAAATAGGAAATGAGAACCTTCTAATGAGATGGATAAAAATCGAAAATAGCAACTTTTCAATAGGTCGGAGGAAGTATTTAGTTTTAGTTTTAGATTTAGATTTGGTTTTGCCGAGTCTGTTTTATGTTGCATATATATAAACTCCTTATTTTGTTGATTATACAATGCAATTTTTTAATTTTCACAAAATATATTCACATACTATCAGAACCTATTTTCCTCACAGAGTAAACATAGTCTGCCAACACTTATTTTTCGGGTACATTCAACTTGGGAGAGAGAGTAAAAATGAATATATATTATATTTATATAGTTAAATTGTACAAAATTCACTAGTGATTTCATGAAATTGCACCAAATCCCCCGTATTTCTAAAACTGCGTCAAATTCCCTCGTGGTTTCATAAACTTTGCGTCTAACCCCCTCAGTGGTCTTTATTTAACGGTATTTAACCTAAATGCGCTCAAACTGCGAATAAATTTTAGAATTTTAATTTATAAACCCCTAAAATTACAAATATATTTATTTTTTTATATTTATCCTAAAAAAATAGTAAATATACTCAAAAATAGTTATTTTTCTTAGGTTTTTTAAGAGTTTATTTTTACTATTTTTTAGGCTAAATATATATAAATATATATATATTTGTAATTTTAGGGGTTTAAAAATTGAGATTCTAAAATTTATTTGCAGTTTGGGCGCATTTAGGTCAAATACCGTTAAATAAGGACCGCTGAGGGGGTTAGAGGCAAAGTTTATGAAACCACGAGGGAGTTTAACGCAGTTTTAGAAGTATAAGGGATTTGATGCAATTTCATGAAACCACATGTGGATTTTGTGCAATTTAACCTATTTATATTAGTAACATAAAAATTTATTGAGAGAGAGAGAGGGAATTTGTTTGATTGTATTTTTTATATATTTTATTATTCATTTACACTCACGTACTCTTTCCGTCCCAATCAAAATGAGCCATTTGAAAGTTTGCAGTAGATTAAGAAATAATAGTATTTTATTGGTTAGTGAAAGTGTGCAAGAGGTTTGAAAATTTTTCCCTTTTAACTTTACATAAAGTAATTGTTTGTATGTATATTGGTATGTTTTTAATTTAAGTAGATATTAAAAATTATTTTGATATTAATATATAGTTATAGACTTTTTTTAGTGAAACAAATTAAAGGATAAAAATGAAACTTTGAGTTGGGACGGAAAGAATATTATTTTTCTTTTTTAAATATATTGATAACATTAAATATTTATTTTATATTTTATATTTTATATTAAAATTAATTTTTTTATTTTGAAATAATAATAATAATAATAATAATATAAATAACAACGCTTGACATGTATGATTACATCATTTGAATATTGACCCTTAAATTTATATCATATTCAACGATCATTATAATTCAAATTTCTTTTATTCTCAAAACACACCAAAATAGTTTTCGAAGACTATGTTCACTTTTAGATTTAGTACGTTTATATTTAGATTTGGTCTTATCGAATATATTTTATGTTACCAATATATAGGCCAGTAGCAGAAATTTGGTGTCTCGCCTCGGAAAATTTGTTTGGAAAATGAAGTGTTTCCGAACCTATTTCCCATATCTTCGGCCATATTGTCGGAAACGGTCCCGTGACTGATTTTTAGCGTTGTTTTGTGAAGTCTCGGAAGTTTTGAGACTAATTTGGATAGTTTCGGAATTCTCGAAGCAAGATAACTTCGGAAATTTGGAGATAAGATAGCTTCGACCACTGAGTAGAGGTGGAGAAGGAGAATGAGAGAATATAGTGGAAGATAAAGGAGGAGAAATAAACGAGGCTAAAAATTAATTTGGGGTGGTAGGTGGTGGGTGTTTGTAGAATTTTTGTAAGAATTTTTTATGTTTTGGATATTCTTTTAAAAAAAAATTAATATTTGAATTTTTTAAAAATAGGAAAGGGTAGTTTAGGTGGGAAATTGTATATTTAAATTTTTTGGGGGGTTTTCTATGTTTTCAATTTTATTTTAAAGGAATTTTTTTAATATTGATTTTTTTTTTTCTAAATCGGTAGAGTTTAAGCACGAAATTTTATATTTAATATTTTTTGGGAATTTTAAAATTTTGAAATTTTTGTAAGAAAAAAATTTAATATTGAAATTTTTTAAAATTACGATAGGGTAGTTTAGGTGGAAAATTATATATTTAATTATTTTTCGGTTTTTTAAAGTTGATTTTTTTAAAAAAAGAAATTAATATTGTAATTTTTTAAATTAAGGTAGGGTAGTTTAGACATAAAATTTTATATTTGAAATTTTTTTTGGATTTTTTATTGATTTTGTTTTTAGAGAAAATTTTGAATATTATGAAACTATTTAAAATAAAATTGACACAATGTATTTTTATCTATAATTTAATAACTTATTAAATTTATTATTTAAATTATTTTTATATTGTAACAATTTAATCAGTTACTGTTCATATATTGTTACACAATAAATAAATTATAAATATATATCTAAATAAAATCAAAATCAAATTTATTAATAAAATTATAATCAAAATTAATTAATTTGTAGTGGCCAGTGAATTTAAATTGTTTGATAGATTAGGAAAATTCCAAAAGTAATTAAAATAGGTTCCAACGTTGCGAAACTAATAAAAGTTCAAAATTTCCAAGACTAATAAAGTTTCGAAAGTTATGAGACTAGTTACAATTGGTTCGAAAGTTTCGAGACTAACAAATAGACTCGGAATTTCCGAAACTAAGGAATGTTTGGAATTTCCAAGACTATTTAAAATAGGTTCGAAAGTTTCAAAACAAATTAAAATAGATTCGGAAGTTCCGAGACTATAAAATGGGGTTGAAATTTCCGAGACTACTATAGTCTTGGAAATTCCAAAACTAATTACAATAGATTCGGAAAATCTAAGATTAATGAAAATAGGTTCGGAATTTCCGAGACCAATAAAAGTCTTAGAATTCCCGAAACTAATTAAAATAGGTTCAGAAGTTCCGAGACTAAACGTATTGGAATTTCCGAGACTAACCAAAATAGTTTCAGAAGTTCCGAGACTAAAAGTCTTAGAATTTCCGAGCTAATCAAAATAGGTTCGAAATTTCTGAGACCATTTGATATAATAAATTGTATATTTAATATAGCTTCGGAAAATCCAAAACTATTATGGATAGTCTCAGAAATTTCGAGGCAAAATAAATCAATTAATTTAATATATGTATTTTTACAGTCTCGGAATTGATTAATTCTGAAGCTAATTCCAAGGCAAAAAAGGGAAAAGTCTGGTAGTGGGCTCCTTATTTTGATGATTAATACAGTGAAATTTTTCAAGTTTCCGTAAAATATATCCACATGGTATTAGATCTTATTTTGTCCCTTAGAGTAAACATAGTCGACACGCGTTTCTTCGGGTACATTCAACTTAGAATGTACAAGGAGGTCTTCAATTTTATTATTTTTATTCATGATTTTATGGCGTCAATGGAAGTTTTCTGATTTTGAAATCCGTCAGCAATTGGTCGTCCGTCATATTTATTTCTCAATTTTGCGTCCGAGTTCGGCGTTTCATTGTTTGTCATGGTTCAATGCAAAGCATTGTTTTCGATTGCATTGACAGTCCCGTTGTTTCCGACTCTAATGAGAGTCCCGTCATTTTTCGGCTCCGGTGAGAGTTCTGTATTTTAGACTCTACTACTTCTAAGTCTGACATGATGGAAAATTGTGGTTGTGTCATCTTGTCTTTGCAAACTCAAATTGATTTTTGCTACACGACTTGAATTTGATGGTGATGTTAAATATTTTAGATATTTAGTTTTACATTTACATTTGGTCTTATTGAGTTAGTTTTAAATTGTCTATATATATATACTTCTTAATTTTAATGAATATATAATGCAAATTTTCAGCTTCGGTAAAATATTTTCACACATACCAAATAAGTCTCAACCTCGATCTCATAGGATATATATCCAATTATTATTGTTTAAGGAAAGTATAGTGAAATATGATTGTTATTATTTATAATTACAAAAGCTAAATAAGTAAAATTATAGCCAATTATTTCAAAACTCAAATCACAAATATTCAAACACAAACAAAAGAAACTTAATTATAAAAAATGTATACATCAATTTTTAATTTATTCTTTTATGTTAAATATAAATCCTAATTGATAATTAGTATTGTTAAAATAATAATTGGTAAGTAGTAAGTTTTTTAATAGAGTATAAAATTTGACTGTATTTGAATTATTCATTTAATGCTAACGGTTGAATTTGCATTTACTTTTCATATTAAATATATGATTTTTTTTTAATAAATATTTTTTTCTAAAAAAAAAGTATTGGTTTTATGGATTAAAAGTAATACTCCTTCCGTCTCATATTTAGTGAAGAGTTACTATAGATACGAGAATTTATGAGGAGTCTGATTAGTAAATAATTAAGAATATATAAGTAAAATTAATTAAAAATTAGATCATGATAAGTAATTACACTAATAAAAATTTAAAAAACCTATAAATCATAAAATATAAAATAGGATTAAAAGATAAAATACTTTTAAGTAACATTAAGAAGTTCTTCAATATTTGGATGGCCACAATATTTCCGTTGAACAATACCTATTTATAACTTCTTGTTATACTTTTTGTTGAACAATGGCATATATATAGCACGATATACTACTAACTCTAAAGTTATTTTGTAGTGTTTTTTAGTATTTTATAGTTACTGAGATCTTTCTTGTTTTTATTGAAAATTGTGATATTGTTTTAGGAAAGTCATTTTTATTATTTTTTTGATATATTGTAAGAAAAGATTGTAGTTTTATTGAAAATTTTGAGTACTTTTTTTATTACGAAT